GTCCCCGAGTGCCACACGTCTTTTTTTATCATTTCAATGACTCTCTGATTACAATTCAAAGTTCATGTTATGCAATGTAATAAAATCTTTCGTCACCATCTTCATTATTACAACCTGTTAAAAGGCCTCAGCGTAACATAAGCCTCCCTGATAATGATGGTTTAGCGGATTGGTACCCGCAGTTTTTAATATTTAGTTTTTATTACGACAGCGATGCCGCCCATCTCTTGGTTTCCCTCTGTCGCTTCTTACAACACAAGAGACGAGTGATGCGAAATAAGTTGATAAACTCTCACTAAGGTTTCAGATGAGGGAATTGCCAGCCAGCCCTTTGGCGATTATAGCAGCCTTTAGACGGCTTTACAATACCAGAAAAAGAGAGATGAGGTTGAAGGAATCCCTTATATTAGTTTCATTGGGCATCGACTTTGAGACTTGATGTAAGCGCTACCCTAGTCAAAGAATAATATACTAAAAAAACATCATATCAGTATTGAATGCAGGTGGCTCAGGACCGCGCTTTGTGGCATTCTTTGGGGGGAGGCCTATGTTCAGCAGAGGAATTGTGAAGGGCTGTAATGATGATGATGATGATGATGATGATTAAAAAGTTATTGTTATTTATAAACCAAGTTGTTTTTTACCACAATTTGCTTATAATTTACCAATTTTTTGTCTGGCAACTCCGTCGAATGCCGCGTCGCATGTATTGCCAGTCAAGCAGTTTAAGATGCCTTGTTGCCTATAATGCTGATTCCCATCATGGGCTCGGGCATTTAACACCTACTATATTTTAAAACACATCATTAACACCCTAGTAAACTAAAGATTTGCGACCATACAAACAATACAACAATTATAGGTAATCATCGCTTCGTAACCACCCAAACATTTTTTAAATTCTGATACCATTGTATAATGTTAACTGAACATACTCTATAATGCAAGCACACAGTGTTGCAACACATAAAAATCAATCTTATTTATATGCTATTAAAGTTCGTTTTTTTATTCGAGTGAGTTGTCGTAACAGCTTTTTAAAAATAAATCTTATTTGTACCGTATATGGTTTGTTTTTATTTACTGCAAATAAAATATTATTTATATACATAAATTTTCGCTTTAGTCCCATAGCTTGTTTTAAACTTTATTTCTCAAGTATAAAGGTTCAATGTTATTTGTAATGCATGCAAAAAAATGTAATCTGTATTCAACGAATTCGAATCTAAAATGATTGAAATAATAGTTGTTAACATGACCAATTATACATCACCGTTTGTCTATAATACTTTTGCACCACAGACGAGCTCTTTCTATTTTGGTTGGATTTTTACAAATGACGTCCACCGCGTGGCCGGCACGTGGCGAAAGACAAGACCAGAAGCGTTGGTACGAAATAAATTTTTGAATACCATCATTAACGATTTGATTGTACGTATTTACAAACTGTTGTTCCTACAGAATTTGTAATAGATAGGGGTTTGACTACTAACTTGAAGATAATCATGTTCTTTTTACTTTCTTACTATTACTATTATTTGCCTAGAATAAATTGTCCAACTAGGTTAGTCCAATTTGATTATGAGGTCACCGACCAACTCAGTTTGGCCACGTTTGGGAAATTACAATAAATTTTCGCTTTTGCCTTTCCTTGTTACATATTGCAATTTTCTCGGCGTAGACCTTCGCAACTGAAACGTGGTTTTTAACTGCTGGTTGTATGAGTTTTCTAAAATCACTTAGCGAGCTACGGGGGGCTATACTGGTACTTACTCTGCCTGATACAATCCATGGCGAAGCTATCTATTGTAGCAGAGTAACTGATACAGCATTCATTTTCACACACAAGTTTTCGAGCGATTCGCAGTCTGATACTCCGTACTAGTCTTCGGGTGGATTATGTTTAGCAATCTCAAACTATAATTTGCGTAATCTTGGCGATTGAAAATCTGTAACCATATCTCTTTGAATAATTGAATTACAGACCACCGTTTTTTTTTGATCTAGTGATCATGATGTCTTTTTGTTTTCTTCTTCCGTTTTTTATCTTCTACATAGCTAGGTATGTACTTCATTTTTAATATTCAAAAACTTTCACACACTTAAGAACTCCTTACATATCAGAAAAAAGTACAATACAATAACATTATTTCTTTTTTTTTTTTAATTTAAAAGCTTATTTTTTACGTTGTAATAAAAATACCACACAGAAATAAAATAAAATTTAATCAAATGGGCTGGCAAACTGGCAATACATGCGACGCGGCATTCGACGGAGTTGCCAGACAAAAAATTGGTAAATTATAAGCAAATTGTGGTAAAAAACAACTTGGTTTATAAATAACAATAATTTTTAATCATCATCATCATCATCATTACAGCCCTTCACAATTCCTCTGCTGAACATAGGCCTCCCCCCAAAGAATGCCACAAAGCGCGGTCCTGAGCCACCTGCATTCAATACTGATATGATGTTTTTTTAGTATTATTATTATTTATTATAATCTAATTACAGTACCTATATGCTCCTTTCAAATTAGACGGGGTTTGTTTACATCATGTATATTGAAGAGAATTTTGGAAACATTGGACGTTCTTTGTGTGAACAATTTAATCTTTGTATAGTACACAGAAGAGAATCCAGACGACCTTTGGAAATCGAGTGCCTCCCAACTTCTTGGGTTGACATCGCAAGTCGTCAGATTTCCCTTTAACACATTGTTTAGTACAGACGCTGGCCACAGCTAACACATTGTTTTAGACAAACAATGGACACCATCCGTTACCTAATTACCTTCTAACAATATATAAAATCTATAATTAATGCTTTTCTACTTTAATAAAATTCACTGAGTTAGAGAAGGCGCGTAACCTGCAATGGGACAAGGGTTGCTAGATGGTAAGGATTCATCTGGACTCTCTAGACATTTTAAATGATCTCCAGACTCCCGTCAAAACGTATAATCTCCAAACAAACAACTTCTCTTCACAACAGCTGCCTTTGATTTAATAAATGCTGAGTTAGTAATTAGACTGAATTCGAAGTAAATTGTTCGAAAGTTCGAAAGTTCGAAAGTAAGTTGTTTTGAAGTGAATTTTAAATCTTGTCTGAATATTTGTAAAGATTCCAAATTGGTGGACACAGTAAAGTCCAATGCCAAATACACGTGACAACCTAAAAATTAAGTGTACTTAAATCAGTTATGTGTCAACAATGTTAAGTTTTTTGTAGCCCATTCATATATGGGTAAGGTCGTCGTTTTTGCCACTTTTTGATGAAAAAATATTCTCATTTTTTCATTGCTTATAGAAAACAACATAGTGGGTAAATTGTAATGGAGGTATTTTAATTAGGTTATACATCTCTTAAACTCTTCCAACATATTCTTAATATTAATATAAGTTGTACATTAAAAAAAATGCAACGAGTTAAATTCGTCCAGACTCCCAAATTTAACGAAAAACATGCTGTCTTTTTAGCATTTAAACTATAAAACTTATATTTTTGTAATGAACGTTTAATTAATTTGTGACTATCTGAAATTTCTTAATAGTAAGCTACTACATCGTGCTTTTCATGTCTTTGATAACGCGTTTTTTTATAGATTTATTACTATTTAAACTTATGTTCCATATTTTTGCTTCTACGTTACTACTTTGTATGTTACCAAAATTTTCCCTTACAAAGCATTGAAAACAGTTTGATAGTATTTTGTAATTGCACTAGCAACACTAAGTATTCAGGCAGCACAATTTAAAAAAAAAAGACGCCATCTTGTCGTGTCGGAAGTCTGTCAAAGGTGCACGCGTGTGTTTCGGCAGTGAATTTTAATTGTGAATTTTGGCGCTTTCAAAGGTAAATATCAGTTTTTATTGTTCACATATTATATATTATTATGCACGAGTAACTAATAAGTGCGTGGTAATGTGTCTATGTTTAAAATTCACCTTGATGTCGAGTTATGTCTATTTATAACCTTGAAAAATCGCACTTTAACGTTACTTCTATGTAGCTTTGATGTCACTGGTAACGTTGATTGTATGTTTCGTAACGTTTTACTGTTGTAAAGGTTTGTGCATATTGTAATTTATTAAATATACTTTTTTGTAAAAAATATCTACCTTTTTTTAAAGTTTTGATCATGTAGAGTAATGAAAAATCCACTCATTAATTTTTTTATTTGATATACAGAGGGCATTTTTTTATTTGGTTTCCAAGCAGTTACTAATTACCTACTTATACTTTTATTTATTAGATTGTTTTACGAAATTCAAAAAACACATAAGACAGGAGTAGTTTATTTGCCTTAATTAATTTGTGTCATTTAAGTAGTTTGGACATTCGTGGAAACTGAAAAAGAAAGGTTTTTAAACCATATTTTTTGTGCCACTTAGTGGAAAAATAAAATAAACTCAAAAAAAAGTAAAAAACGACTTCAAAAAGAATAAAGTTTAATCTTTTGTGAAAAACAATTAAAGATATCGATGCCAATTGTTTCTAAAAATTAAACCAAATTTAACTATTTACCACGTATTTTTTTAAAGTTTGTTTTTACTTTTTTTAATGTTTACTTCGATATTCGCGCGAACGGTCTTCTCTTTCTAGCAAAGGATGTCGGTTAGCGTTAAAGAGAGATACACATACGTACAAAAAAATGTGTTGCGAGGCGGGTAGTGTGACCCTTAGTCAATGTATTAAACATGACTGTATGAATGAATTAGAGCCCTTAAACCATACTATCCCTTTACTTTTCTGATTAACAATAAAACAATATAAACATTGTCACAGATGCCGCCGACGACTGCAGCTGAAAAGCAGAAAAAATATCGCGATAAGTTGAAAAAAAGAAAACCCTCAAAAGTATGAAGAAATACAAAAGAAGGCCAAAGAAAGATCTGCACGTTACTATGAGAAAAAAAAGAGTACCTATACTGAAGAGCACAAACAAGAATTACGGAATAAATGGAAGGAAGATCGGAAAAAAGCAAAAGATGCAAAAATGGCATCACAAAATGAACCGGGTACGGCACATACTTCAAATTCCAAGCAAGATAATAACCAATTAACTTGCCGTAATATGCAACGCCGAATTGAATACAGACTGAAACAAGAAACTGCACAACTGAGATTACAGTTAAACACATTGACTAAAGGTTTCAAAAGTCTTCAGAAAAAAACGAATAGACAACAAAAGAAAATAGACAAGATGCAGGCAGATTACGAAAATTTATTAACTAGATTAATCACGACAGATGAAACAAAGGACACATATACGCGAGAATTAGAAGAGAAAACACCGAGGAAAGAAGTAACAGAGTTCATAAATAATAACATACCTAACATTGAAACTCCCAAAAAAGAAGAAGTTAAGAAGAAACTACTGGAACACGATGTACTAACGAAGTCACTAAAATTACAATTCCAAACTGTAGCTCATACACCTGTAGCTCATAGTTTTTTGCCCACTATTTACGCAAACGAAAAACACACATCGAATAAACAATAAAAATGTGAAAAGAAAAAGGAAGTTAAAAATTCAAAGAATAGCAATAAAACTAGGCGAAGGCGTTTCAGTTCATCAACCGAAGAAGACGAATATGATGATAGTATTGAGTATGCGGAAAGCGACGCCTCGGCGTTTTTTTCTGATGAGTCAATAAGTCCAGATTTTAACGACGATGAAAACAATCTAATCACAGAACTTGACGAAAAAACAGGTGTTCTGAGGCCAAAAATTAATCCAAACAAGAAAGTCACTCTGCTATCCACAATAATTTTAAAGAAACCTAATGCTGAAAATAATCCTAAACATGAAAGGAAAAGAAAAATAATTTGTGAAAATGAAGATTTAATCCATAAAAGATTTTGCGAAACTACGAAACATGTTACTGGGAAAGATGATGTGACAATTTTGTCACAAATAAGAAAAAACCCGGAAAATACTGCGAGTTATGATTTAAGAGAGAGTTATTTATTTGGAAAAGAAGACCCGATAAAGGAAATAAGAAGTAACAAAATTGAGACTGATAAAAGAAAAATCGACCAGAACAGGGAAAACAAAAATGATACCAAAGAAGAGATCAAAAAGAGTTTGAAAGAAAAGTTTCTAATAGAGAAGAAGCACAAAATTGAGATTGAATGTACTAAGAAAGATGAAAGCAAGGAAATTCTAATTGTTATCGCAGAAGAAGAGAGAAAAGAAGCTGATGAAAATAAAGAAAATTATATAATTGAGACTGAATATAAAAGACAACTTGAAAGCATGAGAGGACAAAATAATACTGGTGAAGTTTTACAAGACGCAGATAAATATAAACAAATGGAGAAAACAGATTTAGATAAAATAAACAAATCTGAGAATTTAAAAGAAGATGCAAGTGACAAGGAATTGAATACAAAGGAAGAAGGAAAAAAAGCAATTGAGAGTGAAGAAAATACGCAGAACTTTATTTTAAATATAAATGATAGCATAATAGTTCGATATTTCCAAAGGAAAACGTGGAAATATTTTATAGGATTTGTTGAGAATATAGAATTTAAGAACGGAGAAAATTATTATAAAGTAAAATTTTTTGAAAACTGTGAAGGATTTATCTGATTCCGTGAAGTTTGTAGTCCAAAGAAAATCAGATATTGATATAGTGACCAATATTTCTATCGTCAAAAAGGTAAATTTGATTCAACGGGAGAAAGCCTCTAAAGAATATTACCTGAGTACCGATATTGATTTGGTTTATTTTAATTGTTGAATATTTATTTATAAGGTGTAAGAAAGGTTTTGTATTGCAATGACCTCTTATGTACAGACGCACAGCACACTAGCACATTAGCCCACTCCAATCTGTCAAATTTCTTTAATAGATTTTCAACTTTACCACAAAAGTAGACAATTCATGTTCGATTGAGAAAATTTGACAGATTGGGGTAGGTTGATGTTCTAGCGTCTGTACCTAGGTTAAAGAGAATTATGTAGTTTTTGTTTTTACTTTTTTATGTTATTTCATTTGGCTACGAGATTTTTTTAAATTTTAAATTTGTTGTAATTACTACTCGTATTTCTAAAGTATTTTTAACTACAGATCCTAAGAAACATTTCGTGTCAATTTTATAAGAAAATAAATACCAATATTAGTTTCCTAGAAATGTACCTACTATTTTATTTAAGAAGATAACCCGTGTGATAATTGTAAAAACTTTTAGAGAAAGATTATATTGTTCTAATTTTGTGATTTCACGAAACACTATTGATCTCATTGTGTAGCTTATTTTATAGGTTTAAATCATATTATAATGAATGTTATTTCGTTTTTTTTGTGACATTAAATATTTTTGTTACTTCACTTATATCGTAGTATTATTTTCCTGATATTTGGTAAACTTGGTCAGATTTCATGGTTGTGTAATAACTCTAAGCTGCTGATAGTTTTAAACATTTTTCAACTTATTTTTTTTTCTATCACTGAACTTCTCACAGTTGGCGAATTGTACAGTTAGCTTATGCGTCGAAACCTCCTCCTTTTTGAAGTCGGCTAAAAATAGCGCGTTATGCAATCGGCCTTACAAACATTACACGTTACTTCTATGTTACCGTAACATAAAAGTGTCTATGTTACTCTATGTTACTAAGTGGCAAAATCTACGGCCTTACCCATATATATATATATATATATATATATATATATATATATATATATATATATATATATATATATATATATATATATATATATATATATATATATATATATATATATATATATTACCTTCTTCCAACAACAACCCCAATACTAAGTGGGACTAATTAAGAATGCTGCTAAACCCAATAATAACGTAAAATGTTTATTTCCAAGAATAAAAAAGAGTAGTTGATAAACAAGCGTATCGTTTCTCTTTTATGATGAATCATGATTACTGGCATGAAGATGTATGCAGGTACAAACAGTTTTATCATATTCCCACAGCCAATGACTATGGACAATAAAAAACCTATTACACTTTGGACACGTGTCAAAAAATTAGCCCCCTTTTGTTGAGGAAATGATCGGGCTATGATCCATGCACCTCGGTGCCCAGCCATTGAGTTAGCGCGGTGTGAACTCGAATTTGCGTTGCTTTGAGGTTATTAAATATTCATTTTCGTAAAATTATGTTATTATAGTTTTTAATCGGATTTATTCCGGATATTCATTACAAATATCAAAAGGAGGGGCAATTTTTTGGTTGCTACGAAATATCTGTCTAACATAACAATAACCATGTTGGTGTTTTAAGGTTGCGCCAAAAGAGGATCCATCGCCTCACTTCTTTTAGTAAGCATCGGCGTTAAAGCCATTTTTCATTATATATGAAAAGTCTTGTAAAAGAAAAGGTAAAAATGGCATGCAACTAATGGAAAGTGGCTACGCAGCCCATGTGCACCTTAAACTTCAACAAAGAAGGAAGAAAATTCAGAAATGTTTGTCACTCATGAGAATTAAGAGGAAATGCCTACAGCCTGTATACACTGTACACGTGGAAGAACCACGCTGTAGCTAATATTATGGTAATAATAATAATAAGTTCTTTATTTTCCAAAAGGGTACTACCTTTTAACAAGATATTTGCTTAACATTTAATAAAGCTAAATAGATACCTTTGCATCAGCTGTCAGCGCCATATCCCCACCGTTAATTTATATAAATATTAGGATGCAAGCAAAAGTTAAATAATTAAATTCTATCTTAAAAGTTTGTACATTATTCCAACATAACATAGCTTAGGTACTATGAAATTTATTGGATAACATATTATGTTTTTATACTAAGTTATTACCTATTTTTTATTAGTAGCATGAATGGATCGTCTCGACTAGGGAAGGACCGTCATAATACTACCCTTTATTCTTTAAAACAAATGTTTGTTCTTTCAAAATATCAATACAGCGGAGAATATACTCAAGAAATAAGTAAGAGGATTCTATCAACCCAGACGGGTTCTAGGCAGAAAAGAAGTCTTTCTAAATATGAATGAAGATGAGAGAGAGTTATTATTATGATGATTACAAGTGTACATATGAATGCAACATAACAATTATAAAGCCAGTAATATGCGAGCGCCCTTCCACCAGACCGAGACATTTGCATCGATATTGAATGTCCAGCGCCTATTCCACGTACAATCAAGGGATGATTTTACATGTCAAAGACTATTAAAAAATAGATGCGATAAAGTATTTAAGATATGTTCTTCTGTTATAAATGTGAATTATTAGTATTGTATGTATAATTATTATTTCAAAACGAAATATAAACCTTCAAAATGGCATAATATTTTATTAATACCATATTCATAGTTTTAAACAATTTTGATTGGTTAAAAAAGAACAAAAAATATCACATTCATATTGGCAGTTATTTTTCGGGAAATGGTACTGTGGTGGAAGGATTGACCAACCCAAAATCGTGTTGTTTGACAGATGCGTTGGCTATTGTTGTAATAAATGATTCACACTTTGACGCTACTCCCTTTTTATTTCTTTTTGCTTGTAGGTAAAAAAGTATAGACCACTTAATGTCTGCATTGGCTACTCTATGACATTGCGTGAACATTATTAAGGCTTCCCATTTGGGGGTGAGCAGCGTGTTTAAGTGATATTAGAAGCGAATGTGCGAGCATGTCATGATTGATTCCGGCAATTTCGATGCGATGACGGCTCGCCAATGGATGAATTAGCGATAGGTAATGCGTTAGACAATAGGTTTCACTGAAGTGGACAGCAATGCAACAGAGTTTAGACCAGCATAAGCTGAACTACCTAATGGTTAAATCTAATAATAATTGACTTACATGATGCCAGCTATAGTGACACAAAATGGCTAATATTGTAGAATATAAGTAAAGGTAAAGTAACTGAGTGTATGTTTCTAATATTGAGCACAGGCCTTTTCTTACACTTAGGCAAGAGTACGTCATATGCCTCCAATGCGTTGGTAGACTTCACAATAAGTCCTTTGAGTTTTTTTCGACCATGCAGGTCTCTATGTTACATCTTCCTTCACAGCTGAGCACGTCAGAAATCAGTACATATTGCAAAAACATTTTCATTGATGACGACCAGGATCGAATAAACACGTGAGGAGTCAACTCTTAAAGTTGCAATAAACAATTATTATTCTATTGGGGACAATGAGAAGAGAACTTGGTATAATTGTTATGGAGTAGGCTTTTTTCGTCCTGCTATCTCTACATCTACATGTAAAAACATGACTCAGGGTCATTCAAAATTGAACATAAACACCATTAAACTTCATATATCAGAATACTGGTTTGGACTGGAATTGAAACCTCTAGTTTGTATACGTGGTAGAGCCACGCTGTAGCTATATTTAATTATGGTTGTAGCACGAATGAGTCGGCTCGACCGGGGGAAGGACCACACTCTCACAAAATGCCAGCGTAAAATAGCAACTTATTACTGCTGTGTTTCGTGTGGTGAGTGTAGAGACCCGGAGACCCTTTTTTACTGGAAACGAGGCATTCCATTTTAGTCCTCAGGGGTGACAACGCACCTGCATTTCGATTCATAATCGAGGATAAATGTAGATGTCTATGGGCCAGAGCATCCACTTACCATCAGGTGGACTGTGTGCACGTTTGTCACCGTTATTCTATAAAGAAAACCTATGCCACTAAATCCTTTTAGAATAGCCGACTACAAAGCCTCAAGTTTATTAAAATAGATAGTTTTGTTAATAAAACTTCTTTCTATCTCGATCATTGCCACTGGCTTCGGAAGCATAGTTTGACACTTGTTGGGAAGCCTATTGTCGTTAAAGTCTATAAAAGATAACTGCAAAACACTAACTTCCCTCATACATTACCTCTCCGAGGAGATTTTGCCATAGTTGCCACGCTTGGCAAGCGTGTTGGTGACCGTAGTTTTTTAATTTGTTATTAGTTATACGAGGTAGAGCCACGCTACAGCTATATTATGGTTGAATGGGTCGGACCACGCTCTCACAGAATACCAGCATAAAATAGTAGCATAATGCAGCTGTGTTTTGTATGGTGAGTGTAGAGAACCAGAGACCCATTTTACTGGAATGAAGGCATTCCATCTTAGTACTCAAGGGTCATAACGCATCCGCATTTCGATTCTTGTGGCGATATCTATGGGCCACTTACCATAGGGTGAACAGTGTGCTCGTTTGTCACCTTTATCATCTAAAAAAAGATAGATACTTCTACCCATCTCCCGATTCAGTTTCTACGTGGTAGAGTCATGTTGCAGCTATATTATGATTGTAGCGCGAATGTGTCATCTCAATCATTTGTAAACATCATTCTATAAAAAAAGTTTCCATCTTTCGCATCTTACGATATACACGGGACGATATGGAATGATGAATATTCCTACTTTTACACTGCCAATACACGAAACACGGAAGCTTTTGGATTCATTGTTATAAACGTCGTAATATTTTTTGTCGTCATCATCTTTATCGGCCCTTAATAGTCCACTGGATATAGACCCTTGGAGGAAGGATTTTAGCATCAAGAGCTGCGAAAATTATACAAGACCTGGAACAATTATTCTTCAGCCACGCCACAGCGCATCAC